AAAATCGATTGTTTCTCTCTCCTCTCTCTCTCCTCTCTCCTCTCTCTCTCGCTCCTCGCTCTCCTCTCTCTCTCTCCTCTCTCTCCTCTCTCTCTCTTCTCTCTCTTCTCTTCTTTTCTCTCTTTCTCTCTCTCTCTCTCTTTCTCTCTCTCTCTCTTTCTTTCTTTTTCTTGTCGCTTGGTATGTACGAGAGAGCTGTACCGGCTAAGGATTAGGTATTTACTGTGCGCACGTAAGGATAATCCCGAGAGAAGGAGAAACGAGGAGAGGGAAGAGGGAGAGAAAACAGGAAACCCAAAACTGAAACAATAAAGCTTTATAGAAACTGGAAGAGATAAATGACGAGGGAAAAAAAGGGATAACAACGACAAGAGGGAAAGGCTGCAAGCGTTAAACACGGGGACAAAAATAAACAAAAGGGATGACGTCACCGCAGATGCAATGACGTAAGCCAACAGCTGACGCAACGTGCCTGCAACTACAAGGTAGATAATAAAAATGAAAAAAACTCATATGTCAAAGTTTTTTTTCTCTTCTTTCCTTTGAGGTACACAACAGATTAATATATGACACTGTTTCCTGTCTAATGAAATATTCTGACATCAAGGAGATTCCGATGTCACGCAGAAACACTGACATAATAATAATAAATATCTTGCCAAAAAATATATATATATATATATATATATATATAAATAAGATAAAATCTGACATCACAAAAAAAAAAAAAAAAAAAAAATATCTGACATCTTACACGGAGCAAAACACATCATAAGAAATATCGAAAAAATTCCAGAACTCTGACATAAGAACAAAAACATTCTGACGTCACAAAACAATGCACTGACGTCACAAAGAGAAACTCTGACGTCATCACCCGAGAGAACAAAACAGTGGCGTTGCAAGAAGACTCTCCAGAACGAGTGAGAAAGAGGACGAGAGAGAAAGAGAGACTACGAAACAAAACAAAAATAAATCAAATATGAAAAATATATATATAAATATATGACCTTACTACATGAACGTAAAATGAACAAAAAAAGGAAAGATATAACGAAACCAGAGCAAAGGGGAAAGACTGAAAGACGGAGTAAGAGGGAGAGAGAGAAAGAGGGAGACAAAGACGAGTGGGAATAAAGCAAGGAGATAGATGGAAGAATGGAAGACCGAAATAATTGCAAGAGGACTCGGCCAGGAGGAAGAGAGAAAGATTGAAACACAAGAAACGGAAATACTAGAGAGAGAGAGAGAGAAGAGAGAGAGAGAGAGAGAGAGAGAGAGAGAGAGAGAGAGAGAGAGAAGAGAGAGAGAGAGAGAGAGAAAAGGAAAAGAGAGAGGGGTAAGAAAGACTTGACAAGTGAGACACGAAGGAAAGACTGAAGCAAATAAAAGAAAGAAAGACTGACACGTGAGCAGGAGGAGGAAAATAAATGCACGAGCAAGAGAGAAAAAGAGAAAGAAGAAAAGAGAGAGAGAGAAGAAGACATAACAGTGGATGACGGTCGAAGATTGATACACAATGAAGAAGGAAAGAGGAAAGACCAATAAGTGGATAACAGGTCGGAGATTGAGGAAAAGAAAGACACAAGAAAGAGAGAAAGAGGGAAAGAGGAAATGAGAGAAGACTAACAAGGAGATAACGTGTCAGAGAGTGAGACACGATCAAGAGAGAAGAAGGAAAGAACAAAGAGGAAGAAGAGAAAGCACGAAGACTAAGAAGCAAATGGCACAGAACGAGACACAGACAAGAGCGAAGGAGGGAAAGAGGGAGAAAAGACAGCAAGAGGACTAAGAAGCAAATGGCAGAGAACGAGACACAAAGAAGAGGGAAAGAGGGAGAGAGGGAAGGAGGGAAAGAGGGAGAATGGGAAAGACGGAGAGAGGGAGAGAGGGAAAAAGGGAGAGAGGGAAAGACGGAGAGAGGGAAAGAGGAAGAGAGGGAGAGAGGGAAAGACGGAAAGAGGGAAAGACGGAAAGACGGAGAGAGGAAAGAGGGAGAGAGGAAAAGAGGAGAGGGAAGAGAGGGAAGAGGGAAGGAGGAAAGAGGGAGAGAGGTAAGAGGGAAAGAGGAAGAGAGGGGAGAGGGAAGAGGAAGAGAGGGAAAGAGGGAAAGAGGGAGAGAGGGAGAGAGGGCAAGAGGGAAGGAGGGAAAGATGAAGAGAGGAAGAGAGGGAAAGACGGAAAGGCGGAAAGACGGAGAGAGGGAAAGAGGGAGAGAGAAAAGATGGAAAGAGGGAGAGA